CTGCTTCTCCTTCTTCCTCCTTCCTCCTTCTCTTCTTCTTCTTCTTCTTCCTCCTTCTTCCTTCTCAAATTCGAACCAAATTTGAGCCCCGATTTTTGGGCTATGTACCGAGGCTGTGACTCATATAGATGTGTAATCTTCACAAATTTGTTTTTATTTCCTTTGTTTTGTACAAGTGGCGTTAGAAATACCTTTCAGAACGTGTTTTGTACTGTGGTATCCTATCCATCATTCTGTTAGAATCTTTTTAGATACCTTATCTCTACACTACAACAGTGGGGGTCTACTAGTGACGAATTCGTGATTTTAAAAGAACTAAAATTTAGAGCAAATTATAAATATATATTTTTTGAGATTTATTTAAGTCATGCTTGATTTATAAAATTAATAGTGAATGTATTAATAATTTCATTAAATTGGTATGGTATTTACTATTCAATTAGATTAGCACGATAAATTATTCCCTTATCTATTGTTTGATTTGCATTGGATAAGAAAATATATGAATGTAAGATTACAACTATATGTATTTTCTTTTCTAATCTTACCCTCTATCAATATTTCTTCACAATCTTTACTTTATCAAAATTTCTTCATAAATGTGGTTTTGAAAAAAATTATAAATAAAAGCAAAATAAAAATACAAAATACAAAGGTCATGTTTGGTTTGTTTTTTAATTTTTTTTAAATATAAATTAATTTGATAAAATAAATATCAAAAAATATTTTTAATTTTTTAAAAATTATTTTTAGCCTTCTAAAATATAAAAATAATAAATGTTTTCATTTTTAGTCAAAGGTAAAAGACTCTTTTTATTTTATATCCCAATTCATGATATATAATCTCATCTCTATTCCATTACTTATAATTCTACAAATTTGTTGGATTAATTATCCATTGGATTAATAATTCTGAAATAAAATTTCAAAACAAACACAGAATTATTGGGCCTACAGATTAATAATCCCAATCCAATGCTCTAATCATGTCAATCAAACATGCCCTTAAGTACATATTGTTTTTTGTGATTTGAAAAATTATGAATATCCCCTTATCAAAACAATTTATTTAATATAATTAACTAAAAAAATAAAATTTATAATTACTTTCCTGTACAATAATAAAATTACTTAAATCATTAATTGAAACATATGTCTAATATAATTAAAAACTGTTAATTGATTTTATGATTTATTAATAAAAGGGGCGATTTGTCATGAAATTAGAAATCTCAGAGGTGAAATGTAATTTCCAGAACCACATGAAGTGATTCGTATTTTAATCAAACCTCATGGTATATTTGTAACTTATCCTAAAATTTAAAACAATAGGTTGGAAATCTTAAAAAAATTATTAAATTTTGGATAAATTATACTGACACCCTTGAGATTTTTGTTTAATACAGATTTTCCCTCACATTTGAAAAATTACACTTATTCCTCTATCATATTAAAATGACATATTTTCCCCTCAGTCTTTATACATATAAAACAATAAAATAATGCATATATTTTGTTTATGTCATTTCAAGAAAATAACAACCATCGTCTTTGATTTACACAAAAATTTGATTTTTTTTTATTTTTTATTTTTTGTTATTTTTATTGATTTTTTTAAATATTTTAAGTAATTTTTTTTTAATTTTGTAGATATACCTAATCTAGATATACAAAAGAAGTATAATATTTTGTATTTTTTTAAATTCACCAAATATAAAAAAAAAATCAATACATTATCTTATTTCGTTGTATTCAATGAATTTTTTTTTTAAAAAAAAATTGTGTACAAATTTTATACTTTTTAAATATATCTAGATTAGATCAATTATCTAGATTAAATTGATCTAATCTAGATATAACGATGAAAATAAAAATGAAAAATTATATTCATATATAAAAAATTTTACAAAAAATATCATAAAAAAGTTGTGAAAGTGATATTATTGTAAATATAAATTATGTTTATGGGTGTTTTGTTTTAAAGTGAAATGTCACAATTAAACTATATCATTGTGTTTGAAAATTCTATATAAAATTTACGTTTATATATCATGACTCAACAAAAATATATTCAGGTAAAATTTAATAATGAAAAGTTGTAGAATGTAGTCATGACGATGTGAAGAAATGATAAAAAAAATGGCAAGATGGTCATTTAGAAAATTTTAAGACATGACATTAGCAATCTGGATGGTAATTTGTAATGAGATTACAAATCTAAGGAAGAGGAATGTAATTCTTCAAATGTGAGGGACAAATTTATATTAAACAAAAATCTTAGGGGTGTCAGTGTAATTTATACTTAAAAATTATTGTAGATAGGAAAATTTTAATTCCACACACTTAATTACCTCAATACACATTTTCTCTCAGTACACACATTTATTAATTTTATTATTAATTAATTTTCTCAATCTACATACTAAAAGTTACAATTATACCATTCACTCATAATAATAATTGTACACACACCACTCAACTTTCCTTTACACACACTTGTTGAGTGACTTTACTTGCAGATTTGTAGACTCATTATAGGCTTACGTGGAAAACATTCAAGATCACAGTGTGAAGTGAAGTGAAAACAAAATCTTCTATTGAAGATCCTATCGAACCTCCATTAAAAACATCATTGAAAACCCTCCAAAATATTGTTGAAGGTGATGTATCTTTCCATTTTGTTATTGTATTTACAATTTCCAGATCTCAGTGCACTCTATTGCCATAAAACTTTTTTTTTATGTTTTTCGGTTTGGGGATTTCAACACTGGTTTTCTAAAATTATACATTTAATTCGAAACTTAATTTTTGAATAAAAGTGATTAGTTCGACAAATTTGTTTTGAAATTTTTTTTGGTAATTAATGTCCGAATATAATGAAATAATTCGATACTAGTAGTTCAACTGAAAACCGCGAAAGGAAAAAAAAAAAAGTTCTGCACAAAAAAACCTAACATTTTCAGTTCTAATAGAGTATAAATGCAGAGATTAAAGTACTATGAGAGTTGTTATGAGAGTATTACTTTGCAACACAATAGCGGAGTATAGAGTGTATAGTAAGCAAAGTAACAACAATAGAAAAATTAGGGTTTAGCTTTTTTTTACTCGAAATGTGTACATTGAGATTGTTTTGTTTTTAAAAGATTTGTACCGAGAATATTTTCATATAATATTCTGAGTGCTAGAGGATGTCCATTATGATCATTTTAATTTAGAGTATTGTCATTCAAATAATATTTCATTAAGTGTATACACTAAGTAATCAAGTGTGTGAAAATAGAATTTCCCTTGTAGAAATACATAAAATATCTAAAATATTTTTTTTCAGGAATTTAATGACTAAAATACCTACCTTTTTTTTTTTTTATCGATTTTAGTTAACAAAAATAGGCAAATAGTTTAAATTGGAAACAAATCCAAAATATAAGGTTTAAATTAATAAAATAAAAAATTTAGAATTTATTTTGTTACATGACTCAAATCCTAAGATTTTTTTTTTTTTTTGGTGTGTGTAATTTATCCTTTTTTTTTTTTATCATATATACAAGCACCTATATATGAACAATATGATATATATAAATTATATATACATAAAATAAAAATTAGAAAGAAAAAAAAACTGTGGAAGCATTTTTTGATTTGATGAAGATTTTTTTTTATATACAAAATAAGAAGAGAATGCAAGGTGAGAGAAAACTGGAATATATATGTTTGATAATTAGATGTCATTTAATGTATAAACAGGGACAAACCAAGATTAGATCTCCACGGGGACCAAGACATGAGTATAATTTTTCTATTAATTAGTCTAAACTATCATATTCCATTTCAAAATTGAAAATAAATTAAGATTTAATACTAAATTAATACATAAAAAATTAAGGTAAGGATACTATGTACATCCCTAAAAGAGTGCATATAATATATCTTTTATAACAATACTACAAAATTTTGTAACATAAATAATTATAAATGACTTAACTTTTCTTTTCACACAATATATATATATATATATATATAATTTTTTACTCACTACTACTAGAAGGATAACTTTCACATTAGGTTGCATACCATAATTTTGTTATTTGTATATTTCATCACAAATTGAAACAACAACTGCACAAACATTAATATTTTTGTTGGGAATGTACATTTTAATTGAGGTTGACCATCTCTATCTTCTACTTTTTTTCAATTAAAATTTAAGAATAAAATAAAAAGAGAGATCTAATGATCAACATGTATAATTTTTGTCCATTATGTATTGAGATTTTTGTATGTAATGAAAAAACTTATATGATAGATTTTTTTGTACTATATTTTTATACCTAATGAAAAAATTATTATGTAACAGATTTATATGAAAAATTATACCAGTTCCGAAATACTAATGACTATACTACCTCAACAATCACCATTCATTATACTCTCTCATGTTCCTCAATCATCCAATATAAATAATCAATACTCTACATTTTTTACCAATCATACTATAATAAAATATCACGTGATCGTACTTTCAAATTACCGAATAATCACCTGATTTATATTTTATTCAATATATGCAACACCACCCTTGAGATCAACCTCTGATTAATTCACAGTCCTCACGACGAACATCATGCAAGGGAGCCAATCCAACTAAACATACAATGTATGATGTGGATCTGAAACACCACGCAGATGTGTCCGATCAAATGTGTCTTGTAATTCGTCCATATTATTCTCATTCTTTTAAATATAGTCTCTTATTATTAGGCAAACACACTACAAACATAAATTTTTTTCAAAAAACTGAATAAATTTAAATTGGTGTGTGGGTCGCTCTCCCCTCACAACCGGCAAGGGTTTAAATCCTCAACTAACTCAATGCCTCTCCCTCAAAGGACCTTGTCTTGAATAAGTTCTTCATCCGACAAAAAACATAGCCATAAAAAACATGATCTAGTTTAACTCAAAGTTTTGGGTTACAAGTTAAAAATAAAGCAAAATGACAACAATTTTTTTCAAACACCCAAGGACAATATCATATTTTCATTCAACTTTAAATCTAGATCGTCAGATTATTACAATAAGATCATGATATTAAGATTCAGGTCAAAGCGGGTAGGGGTCGTATCCATCACTTAAAAATCAAAAAATAAAAAAGAATTATAGGGTTTGACGTGGCAAGATATGAGTGGTGGTAAATCTAGACAAGTTTTGAAAATGTTAACGAAATCCACTTGCTTGGTAACATGTAGGGACGTGAGGAGAGGTAATTGACAACCCCTTGACCCTTTCTTTCTTGCCAACCAAACAAAGAAAAACATAACTGTCATCTCCCTTGTTTTTCTCTCTTCCATCCTCTCTTTCCAAGCCACTTCTTTCTCAATGAAACAAAAGAAGAAAAAAGAAATATTCTAGCACAGCTCACTCAAGATCTCACACATTTTTTCTTCTATCTTTTCTCGATTCTGATTTGATCTGCTGATAATACCTATTCGCCAATGTACAAAAATGATTCAAATTCAACAAAGAGGTTCAGTAATGCACCAAAAACTTCATACAAAATGCACAGTGATGGAGCGAAGGACAATGACAATGAATTGGGAAGGTTTACTAGATGACGATGATGATGACCGCTTCTTTGAAAGCTTCGATAGATTGCCCTCCGCTGTACCCATTGACTTGGCATCTTCTGGGTCAGACGATGACGAGGGTGATGACAGTCGCACATCCTTTGCTTCCGCCATGTCATCGGCCCCCATTCACAACATGCGGGGCATCGACCCAGCCAGAGCCCAGGCATCAATGCTTAGGGATTTCAACATGTGGATGGCGGAGCCCGGATCAATTAAGGAGCGTCGGAGGCGGCTTCTTCAGGGAATGGGGCTGTCAAGCAACAAGAACTTGCTCAGCCGCAATAACACCAGGCTCAAGGATTCTTGTTCGAAGAGAATGAACTATGACCGCGATCAGCCTTCGACAATGTCAGTGAACAATTCATCCCCATTGGAAGATTTGAAACTGGACACTTCACCTTCACCTTCAAGTACTCCGATTTTTCTCATTCGATCAAGATCAGACGGAGATATAGAATCATTTTCTGCAAACACTAGGAAAAGGAAAGAAGAATTCATAGGAAACATATCAAAACAACGGCTCACAAGAACATCGTCAATGTTAGTAACACCACATGGTGGTATATGTCAATATGCAAATACAGTAAAAGTATCACCAAAAAGATCCAGAAATAGATCTTCAATGCTCAACAGCGCCGTGTTGTCATCTATATTGTCGGATGGTCAGTTTGGTGCGTTCTTTTTGATAAAAAATTTGGATACAGGTAAGGAGTTCATCGTCAAAGAGTTTAATGACGATGGGATGTGGAATAGGCTGAGCGAAGTTCAGACTGGGAAGCAGCTAACCATGGAGGAATTCGAGAAGTGTGTCGGTTATTCCCCTGTCGTTAAAGAGCTTATGCGCCGCGAAAATGTATCAAGAAGCCTCGACGATGCAAGGAAAATCAACACGAATTCATACCTTAGCAAGAGGTTTCGAAACAGCAAGAGAAGAGGGGTTGCCCTGTTGAAGAACATAAAGGGTGTAGCAAATTCAATGAGCGGATTAATCGTCGACAAAGAAAGAGATCATTCAATAGGAGATCAACGGACTAACAAGAATTCAACCAATAAGTGGATTAAAGTCCGTCAGCATGGGAAATCCATTAAAGAATTTACTGCCTTGCATTTGTGTCAAGAAATTCAGGCTCATGAGGGCTCGATTTGGACAATGAGATTCAATCCAGATGGGCATTACCTAGCGAGTGCAGGCGAAGATCGGGTAATTCACGTGTGGGAAGTACAAGAATGTGAAGTTACATCGGTAAAACCATATGATGATTATAATTCTGTTAGTTCTACCCCACTTCACCCCATGGCAAGAAGTATGTCAGACCGACCATCTTCATTTACAGAGATTTCGCCAATGCCATCAGAGAGAAGGAAAGAACGGCTGCATCTCGCAGAGCTTTCGCCAATGCTGTCAGAGAGGAGGAAGAGGGGAAAAGGGTCCACCAAAAAAAAGGGTAACTTAATACCTGATTATGTCCATGTGCCAGAAACTGTATTCTCGCTCTCAGAAAGACCAGTATGCTCTTTCACAGGTCACCTGGATGATGTCTTGGACCTCTCTTGGTCAAAATCACATGTAATCTTTTCACCACGATTGATACTGCTAAAAAGTAGAGGAGAAAAAAACAGAAAAACTGATAAGTACAAAAGAAAGAGAAAAAAAAAAGACTTCAAAAGGAAAACTTCCAAAAAGGCAACATTTCATTGAAGCCAAATAGCAATCTTTGTTTTGACTTTTCATACATCAGAGTCAAATTTACCTTTAATTTTAATCAGAAGCAACCATTTTGAGAATAATTAAAGACTTTACTAGTTCTATGGTCCACATAGAGAGTTGACATACAATCATGCAAATTTTTATGCATTTGCAGCTGTTGCTTTCAGCTTCAATGGACAAGACAGTCAGGCTATGGGACATGGAAACTAGGAGCTGTCTAAAGCTGTTTGCACATAATGATTATGGTAAAATGCCTAAACATGCCATTAGTGCTCAATCAATCACCTTTGTCATGTATTTTCTATCTAACATACTTTTGCTTCTGATATATGTTCGGTTTTGTAGTAACTTGTATACAATTCAACCCGACAGATGATGACTATTTCATCAGCGGCTCACTTGATGCGAAGGTTCGAATATGGAGCATACCGGATCGGAAACTCGTGGACTATACTGACCTTCATGAAATGGTTACTTCTGCTTGTTATACCCCTGATGGCCAGGTAGCCCCTCTGATTTTTCCCTATCTATTTTTCCCCTGATATTCTGTTTAACTTTTCCTTTAATTGGAGTGGACTCAAAATTGTTGCTTCATTTAGTTTATGTGTGGTTGGGATTCAACTTAAACCTACATTCCAGAAGTACATGGACTATTTCTATAATCCACAAGTAGTACTGCATGGACATCCCGAAATTGAAAGTTTGATAGTTTTTGAGTACCCCATTCTGTTTGACCAACACCAAAGTTTGATAGTTTTCAACTTAAATGTATCCAAAAGGTTTCAACCAAGTAACAAAATCATGGTTTTAAATATCAGCCTATTTGGTATGGGTGCATGTATTGGGTTTTTGTCTTTCGATACCGATACAATCTGGTACACAGGTTGGAATGAAAATTGCATGTTTGACCAACACCAAAGTTTGATAGTTTTTGTTAAAACCTATCACCTACTTCACCCACTAAACCTAACCCACTACACCACTACCACCTCACCTACTCCACTAAACCCACTACACCACTACTACCTCCACTTCACCTACTCCACCTATCACCTCCACTTTACCTACTCCATCTACCACCTACTACCACCTACTCTTCTATATATAGGAATCATGAATCATTGTAATATATACAAATCAATACATCAATCAATCAATAATACAATTCTCTATTTCTCTTTATACATTGAATTCTAACTTGGTATCAGAGCAAGGTTAACAACTTAGTAATTCCGCTTCACCGGCGGACGGCAACCTCGCCTTGGCCGTCCGCCGGACAAACCCAAATTTCCTTAATCTCTCTCTCTCTCTCTATCTATCTAAGCCATGGCTCTGCAACTCTGGGAGACCCTTGAAGATGCGATCACCGTCTACACGGGTCTCACTCCAGCAACTTTCTTCATAGGACTCGCTCGTGACTCGGAGAAGAATCGGTTCGTGATCTCTGCGCACAACGCACGTGAAGTCCTCCTAGCTATCGTCTTCTCGAATACAGATTCCGACTCGTGCGAGTTGAATCACGAGGCGCTCGCGGTTCTCGCGATGTTTCCGCTTTCTGAATCGGAGTGCGCGTTCGTGTCTTCTGATCCGGAGCGAATCACATACCTCGTGTCTCTTCTCTTCCATTCCTCGATTGAAGTCCGCGTTAACTCAGCTGCACTCATCGAGATCGTCCTCGCCGGAACGAGATCGCCGGAAATCCGAGCTCAAATCAGCAATGGCGATGAAATTTTCGAAGGAATAGTCGGAATCCTCAACTGTCCTCTAGCATATCCTCGAGCACTGAAAGTCGGAATCAAAGCGTTGTTCGCTTTATGCCTTGGGAAGCAACACCGCCACAAGGCGGTGGCCGCGGGAGCGGTGGAGGCGCTGATGGACAGGTTGCCGGATTTTGAGAAATGCGACGCCGAGAGAGCGCTGGCGACGGTGGAGCTCCTCTGCCGGATTCAATCCGGATGCGCAGCGTTTGCTGCACACGCGCTCACCGTGCCGCTCCTCGTGAAGATTATACTGAAGATATCGGATCGAGCGACGGAGTACGCGGCCGGAGCTCTGTTGTCGCTGTGCTCGGCGGAGGAGCAGTGCCAGAGAGAGGCGGTGGCGGCGGGCGTGTTGACTCAGTTGCTGCTGCTGGTTCAGAGCGATTGCACGGAGAGAGCGAAGAGAAAAGCGCAGATGTTATTGAAACTGCTTCGGGATTCGTGGCCCGATGATTCCATTGCCAATTCGGATGATTTCGCTTGCAGCGACGTCGTCCCCTTTTGATTTTTTTTTTTTCTTTTCTTTTCTTTGTTTTTAGGGTGGGGGGAATTCCTAATCTCGTCTCTATTTTTGTAATTTTCATGTTGGGAAAAAAAAATGAAAAAGAAAAAATTAGGTTCTAGATTGATCCCACTCCATTGGGCATGATCACTACTCCCTGCTCCTCCACTGCAGCATATGGCGGCCCTCCAAATCGGAACATCACGGTGGCCTTCCGTTTCATCTCCTTATTTTCCGCCTTTAGCACACTTATCTCTGCTCGCGCATCCTTATACATGCGTTGGAGCAGAGCCAGTTGGGCGTTTAACTGTTGCACCTCATTTGTCCTACTCTGCAGCCGGTGCGAAAAGTTTGTGACCGCAGTCATGGTTTCCACACATGACTTCAATGTATACTTATTGGCTTCAATATCTGTTTGTACTGCCATTTTTTGCTCCACCGACCGCATCGGAAAGTTCAACGGAGCAAAACCAGAGGTGTTTGGTTGAGGTTCACGGGCCGCCACACCAGTTGTCTCTCTTGTTGACTCGTTGAGGTCTGGAAAGAGAGTGAGCAGACCACGGGACGAAGAGGCCATATTCTGGGTAGCTGAACGGGAAGACGAGGCCATGTTATGGGTTGCTGAGTGTTTCAGAGAAGGGTTGGTTACAGAGCGTTACAGAGTATCTCTCTCAAGACAACGAAGAGTTTTTTCAGAGGTTTCTCTCAGTTTTTCTGTCTCAGCTTCTGCCTCAGCCTCAGCCTCCGTCTTGGTTAAATAGCCGAGGCAGCCACGCGTATCGCGCGCCACTTGACGCCAGACGACAAACGGGCGCTCCAGCCAAGGCACTCACGTGCCTCGCCATCATATCTGGCACGCCTTTTTAAGGATTGGGCACGCCTTTTGATGGCACGCCTTTTGAAAGATTGGGCACACCTTTTGAGGGTGCGACTTTTTAAGGGTCCGACAAGACTCTGTAAACTGTCCCGACATAGATTCCGGTTAGTTTCTACAAGGGTCCAGCAAGACTCCGTAAACTGTCACAACAACTTTTGAGGGTGCGACTTTTTAAGGGTCCGACAAGACTCTGTAAACAAAGAGAGATTCATGAGTTTTTCTCATTTTCTGGGGATATTGAACACATTGAGATCCGCAGAGATACAGGGCAATCAAAGACTGCATTTGTTACATTCAAAGATCCAAAAGCCCTTGAAATTGCGTTGCTGTTATCGGGAGCAACAATCGTGGACCAAATTGTTAGTATAATTGCTGCTGAGAACTATGTTCCAAAAGATGATGTTAGGGAAGTAAGGATGGCAGACACTGTTGTGAGCCTGACTCCGGAAAATCTTTCACCAAGTTCTGAGAAAAAATCTAGTTCTCCTAGCAACGGAATTTATTCCAGCCAACCTACTCTCTCCAAACTCAAGTTGGTTAGTTCCTATCCCCCTTGAGTTTGCGGGGGGCTGTTAAAACCTATCACCTACTTCACCCACTAAACCTAACCCACTACACTACTACCACCTCACCTACTCCACTAAACCCACTACACCACTACCACCTCCACTTTACCTACTCCACCTATCACCTCCACTTTACCTACTCCATCTACCACCTACTACCACCTACTCTTCTATATATAGGAATCATGAATCATTGTAATATATACAAATCAATACATCAATCAATCAATAATACAATTCTCTATTTCTCTTTATACATTGAATTCTAACAGTTTTCAACTTAAATGTATCCAAAAGGTTTCAACCAAGTAACAAAATCATGGTTTTAAATATCAGCCTATTTGGTATGGGTGCATGTATTGGGTTTTTGTCTTTCGATACCGATACAATCTGGTACACAGGTTGGAATGAAAATTGCATGTGTATTGGCCGGTGCCCGATACGTATCGGTTTATAGCTAATTCATAGCCGACATGGCCAGTTTGGCTATAAACTCTTTTTTTGACTAACAATAGTACAAAATCACAACTATAACACCCGATACCCTATACATATCGCTCAATACTCCCAATATCGTTATATCGCGAACGATACTGCTATTTAAAACCATGTACAGAATCATATCTTCATCAAGCTGAATCAACTCAGCAATATGTGCTGGACCCTAAAAGAGGGGTAAATATAACATTAGCAATTTTTTTTTTATTTTTTATAATTTGGTTCTAGCATGATTTTATATATTCAGTAATGTCTGTTGTTCTCCATCATTGAAGGGTGCTATGGTTGGTTCAAATACAGGAAGTTGTCATTTATACAGCACAGCTGGTATGTGTTGCTCTACCAGATTTTTCTTTTTCCTTTTTCAATCCTTGCTTTCTCTAATACGTTTGTCCTATCATTTACCAACCTTGTCATCTACCTTTTGATCTAATCATATAATATACAGACAAATGTATTAATTTCTAGTTGATTTCGTGACTAAGATTGCAGGCTAGAACAAAAAGCTCAGATTGAGACACGAAACAGGAAAAAATCCCAAGCAAAAAAAATCACTGGTTTCGAGGTAATCTTCTAATTTTCTCCTATAGTTCCATCTTGACATACACAAGCCTTTCTTTTCTCAACCAGTTATCACAAACTAACCTTGCTTATGAACAGTTTGCCCCAAGCAATACTTCTGAAGTGCTTGTAACTTCCGCTGACTCTCGGATTCGAATCATTGATGGCTCAGAAATCATTCATAAGTTCAGAGGTGTTTCCTCAAAAATATATATATATCCTCAATATGAATACAGATTCATGTGTTTGCCACATAACAGATATGATGCTGGATTACAGGTTTCCGAAACACTAGCAGCCAAATTTCGGCTTCATTTAGCCCAGATGGGAAATATGTTGTATGTGCAAGCGAGGATTCTCAGGTATATATTTGGAAGCGCGAAGAGCAACGAAACGCAGGTGCAGGGAAAAGGAAATTGGTCACTACTCACTCTCATGAACACTTTCAGTGTAGAGATGTTTCAGTTGCAATCCCATGGCCTGGTAGCATAAAATTTGAGCCACCAGTCGTTGAAGTGCACTCTAAGAGGCACTCAAAACACTCCACCCCATGCCCACCTACTGCTACTGGATCTCCAACCCAAGAAGACATCTTATCGGGATCAAACGGCAAAAGATTGCCGCCTCTTCCCAAGAGAAATAGTCTCTTGGAGAGAACTGGAAGTTGCCAAGATGAAGAACTCGCTCAGGTACCTTGCACGGACTCTGGGTTTAGAAATGGTGAGTCATTCTCTTTAGGTTCTTCGTCAGTGAGATATGGTTACTCGCCTTCTATTTCTGGGTCTGGGAGTTCTCCATCTCAGACTTGGTCTTCCTCCTGGTCCTTGCTTGAGGGTAGTAGCCATGGAGGCCATGGAAGCCACGCTGTCCAAGCAACAGCATGGGGCTTGGTGATTGTGACAGCAGGCCTGGGAGGTGAGATCAGAGCTTATCAAAATTTTGGGTTGCCAGTTAGGGTTCGCCGCCAGACAAATCTCTTCAGAGACCTCACGTAAAAGGTTTTGTATAAGTAAAAGGTACTTGTTTTTGTTTAAGATTTTGTCTTGTGGAATGCCAGGGGCTGTTTCACTCTAAGCAGTTCTATGTTGTAAATGTCTGGTTGTGTATATTAGACAAATGCCAATTCACTTTTAGTTCATAGGCAAGGTGTTCTGAGCATTTTCAACTAAACATTTGAATTTAGAAAATCTCAGGAGATATTGAATGCAATTATTATAGCCAGAGCTGAGTTTATGAAAGTCAGAGCTACAAGTAGTGTGTGTATCTAGGTTCTTAGAATATAATTGTTCAAAAAGACCCAGCCAGCTGGCGAACTCAAATGACTCCTCACTAGTATCTCAGCGGGTGCAGTGTGCATTTGAAACAATCCTTTGAAGATCCTTTATAGTCTCATTCCATTTGTGTACATTATTGTAGTGCAAACCAACAGCTTTAGTTGGCTCCCACATTTTATGGACCATTATTGATACTCTAAATTTTTACTTATACATTCAACTTTCCAGGGTCACCAAATTCCAAAAAATAAAATTTCAGAAATGACAAGAAAAAAGAAGAATAATTCCATGTTTTGCATTAGAGCAAATGGAGGTAAGCAAATCATCACAAGATAATATTTTGAAAACAATCATCAACAAGTATCTCATCCAACCCTAATAACCATTAAAGATAAGCAAATTCATCCAAAAACTCAAGGACTAACACAAGGGAAAGACTATGGTACACACCCCGCAAAGGGTGTATACCATATACACCTTATACCTAAAGAAAAAAATGACATAACTCTATACTTTCTAAGTCATAACTTAAAAAAAAAAAAAATCATAACCAAACATTACATGAGGCATAACCAAACGTATCAAAATAATGTCATAATTAAAGAAAAAAATTGGTCATAACTTAACAAGAAAATGACATAACTAAGAGTACATATGGTAAGAGTTGTGTATTGTAAAATTCTCCCCAACACAAACAGCACTCAAACATTTATCACGGGTCATAACAGAAAATGAATATCAGAGCACACTAATGCATAAAGGCTGTGTAAATTATCTGACAGATATGTCAATATGGTGCAAGTACATTATTTTTTCGAGAGTGGAACTTACAAACTGGTCGAACCAATGGGCAGCTTTCCCTCACTTCTCACTAGGGCAGAGGAACAAACACTCATCACCATGGATATTTTGCTTTCGCTCCTTCCCTTCAAATAGGTACAGATTGAGGAACGAGCATTAATAATGAGAACAAGATGCCTCACCAACACGTATCAATAGAGAACATAGTTCACGTACGCGAAAAACAGGACAGGTAGTAGTAATATACCTTCTTCAGACCTGTGCATTGCAATGTGAATAATGATAAGAGCTACAACCACTAGGAAAACATAACCTGGAATTTGCAACATTAAGCCCATTCTATTGGTAGATTCACAATGGTGTAATTTGTAGAAATCAAAATATCGAACAAAACCCATAAGGATTTGGTACTCTCCATTTCATTCCTCAGAAATGAGATAGCAGAATTTTATTGTAATCCTGAACTTTTTGAAAACAGATGAATTATTGCAAGTCCAGAAAATAATGAATTTGCAATTAACTGCAACTAATTTTTTTTTGTTTTGTTTGCCCACAACTCTGACTCCACAAGCAAAATGAACTTCCAAATGATATTAGAAATGCTCAAATCAAAATACAAGCAAAGACAAACAGTAAAAGAAAGAACCATATCATTTAATTCTAGCACTGTCCTACAAATTGTTTCTGAATTCCAGAATCAAACTACGAGGGGAAAAAATGTGTAAACCCCTCAACGATGTGTAATCCGAACACAGAGCCGGACACAATTAGGTGTGAGACCCACCCCGATCCAATTACATACACTTAAAATTTTTAAAAATGCTGTTTATTATTAAAAATGTTTCACAAAATTCGTCTAAAATTTGTTGTCAGTCGACCGGCCAACTGACTGAAAACTTATAATCAATGGCCGGTCGACTGACGACGACGACTCCAAGGTAAAACTTTTTCGTGATCCGGTAGCATTGGTATAAAATATTTCATTTGTGAAACTAACGACCAGTCGTTAACGAGAGCTTTGTACCACGCTTTAAAGGAGGATCGAAAATCGCTTCAAAAGCCCAAACGCCAGATAGAGAGAGAGAGAGAGAGTCTCCGGCGGAAGAGAGACAACAGAGATGGAGAAAAGCAAAGCCGAGGATTCGAAACCTCTCGCCACCGTCGAAGAGATCCAGAGACGCCTCGTTCGACCTCCCTCTCTTCACTCCCAGTCATCAACCTCATCATCCACCAGACTTAGGTACTCAAAATTCTCATCACATCTCTCAACCATATCCATTCAAATTTCAACAAGTATGTGAATATATGATTTGCCTTTTTACTTACAGGAATGATGATATCACGAGCTCCGAATCGTCGAGTTCAACCAAGAGGCTTGAAGATTACTTGGATCCAATACTTCTCTCTGCAATTCGAGCGAAAATTGGAGGGAAGAGGGGTTTAGGAGGAGAGATGAGAGAGAAGAAGGAGGTGGAGGAGTTTGAATGGCCGGTTGATGAATTGAAGGTGTTGATGAGAGAGGCGGTTGAACTTGGAGATGATGATGATGGTGGTGTTGATGTGATTGGGGGTGTTGTTGGAGACGATGATGATGGAGTGTGTTGGAGTCCGTTTCAACGGTTTGAGAGAACAGCGTTGAAGCGGTTCAAAGGGGGTGTGAAGGATAAGCAGGGGATGGGTGAAGGATAAGATTGTGGTAGTTGCTTATAGACTACAGAGCCATCAATATTTCATCAACTCCCCAGTGAATAAATAGATTTCCTACAAAAATTTAATCATTTTGTTATCACTTCTTGTTTGGCTCCTAAGTTTAAATAAAAATTAAAAAACTCAACTCAAAACAAAACAAAATATTATTTTTATGATTTTTTTTACCTTTCAATCAAAACAAAAATACAATTAATATTACCACATACTAATATGAGATTCATTTGTATTAAAAATAGGGTGTCGATAATATTATTCTATTTGTATTATTTTTTCAACTCATATGACATGCATTATCACAATATTTTTTGCAGTCTTTTTTTTTAGAAAGAATTTTTTTTGGAGTACTTTGATACAACCAAAAAAAAAGTTAAAATTAAATTATTTTGGAGTAATGTGCCATGAGATTTTTGACAAATATAAAAAATTTCTTATGAAATTTTAGAAATTTAACTATTTTGTTAATTCTTTTCCAATCATCACTATCACAATAATAACAATACTACAAACTTAGACTTATGAATTTAAAATTTACTCAAAAAAAGAAATCAGCTGTTCAAATTTATTTTACTCGTGAACCCCACATATTATCAATTTAATTTTTACCACATAAACACATCAAAATAAATTATGAATGAATCAGAGTGGGTTCATAATATTTTTGTCACAATAAAGACCATCTAACACAAGTCCTCTTCTTTTTCTCTCTATTTTTTTGCCTACAATGCCAATCCAAATTGGAGTAATTGGAAAATTTTTAATTAGAGTAATCGTTATGTAATTATAAAATTTGAGATAAAATGTAATTTTTAGAATTTGAGGGAGCTAAATATTTGTCAAAAACTTCTTCTTGATTTCAAAAAATCGAATCCACTTTTTAGAGAATATTTTGTTTTCAACTTTTTCTTTTTTGTTTTTAGTAAAAAAATGTAATATTTATTTTTGAAAATTTTTTATATACAATTAAAAAGTATATTATTTATGAAAAAAATATTCAAAAATTAATCAAATACAAAAAATAAATATATTTTTGTATCCTTCTATATTTATCAAGGGTTGGTTTCGGATGTCCTAAAAAAGTGCACTTTTTGTCTTTTTGGACTAAAAAAGTTGAGAAAAAAATATGGAGGTTTGGGTTAACTTTTTGACTTTTTATAAAAAAATGTGTATTAAAAAATTGTATAAAAAAAGTGTGTAAGAGATGATTAGAGAGGGGTGGGCCCCAGCCGTACAACCGGCAGGAGTCAATTGGAGTTGGAAATTATTGGCTAATTTTTGTACAAAGCACTGGACGGTTTTGTTTGGCCCGTGGGGGTCATCACGGGTCCCATTTTAATAATCTGAACCGTTCAATGTGTGTAACTCGTCGAACACTATGTACCTATGAAAAATCATGTTAATCGGATATCGATAGCTATCTGATTAGACACTATATACCTATGAAAAATCATGTTAATCGGATATCGATAGCTATCTGATTAGATTTATTTATTTTTCAATCATTAATTATAACATCATCCATTTGTTGTACATAACTGATTTGATCATATAGTTATCGATATCCGATCAATGTGATTTTTTGCAGGCATATAGTACTCGACGATTTCTACACATTGAACGGTTCAAATTATCAAAACGGGACCCGTGATTACCCCCATGGGACGAACAACGGTATGTGTAAAAACCACCCCCAATCATTTCTTTTTTCTCCACTGCCGCACACAGCAGCTGCACACACATCAATTCGGTGTGTACTTTTTTTGAAGAAAATTAAATTTTTAATTTTTTTTTTTTTGGTGAATAATGATATCTTTTTGGATTTTGGAGTAACTTTTTGACTTTTTGACTTATTTAGGATAAGCCAAACCAGCCCTAAATATTTTAAATATTTTTTATAAATATTTTATTTTTTACATACATCTAAAAAGTAAAAAAAAATCTTAAAAAATTAAAAAAAATTCACTAAAAATACAAAAAATAAAAAATTAGAGAACAGATTCCGGTTTCATAATACGGTATCGTATTAGTCCTGTTTGGTAAGGTTTATTTTCAGCTTATTTTAATTTTTAGCTTAATTTAAACTATTTTGATATATTTAGTTCAATTTCACAATACAACTTATAACTTTTTATAAGTTAAAAATTAACTTATTCTTTGAATAAGAGAAAAGAAATTTAATTTATAAATAAAAAATTAATTTATATTCAAAACTATACATCATAAATTATTAAGTTATAAGGTATAATCCCTCTTAGAATAGTCTAACAAACGGGCATTGGCATCACCTCCAATTTGAATTCTTTAGGACATCATTTTTTCGCGGTTCCGCTGGTCACCGTTTTGCTTTTCACAGACCTGTTGCTCTGCTTGCTAACTTACGCCTATACACAGAGAGAGAGAGATTTAGCGAAACTTCCATAGCTTTATTTGATCTCTCACTCATAATTTATATTCAAAATTATACAACATAAATTATTAAGTTATAACTTATAATCACTCTCAACATAAATTATTAAGTTATAACTTATAATCACTCTCACAATAGTCTAACAAACGGGCATTGGCATCACCTCCAATTTGAATTCTTTAGGACATCATTTTTTCGCGGTTCCGCTGGTCACCGTTTTGCTTTTCACAGACCTGTTGCTCTGCTTGCTAACTTACGCCTATACACAGAGAGAGAGAGAGATTTAGCGAAACTTCCATAGCTTTATTTGATCTCTCACTCATCTTCACTCACAAATCTCCTTCCAAAACCCTAGTCTCTCTTAGTCTCTCTCTCTCTCTGAAATTCACAGTAAATGACATCGCCAATCACCTACCCCGTCGACGACAAAGACCTCGACGATGCTGCTCTCTGGGCGGTGATCGACTCCGCCGCCGCCGCTTCTCTCTCCTCCACCATCTCCAAGTCTTTCAAACCCCTCCTCTACACCAATCATCATCATCATCATCATCAATCTCCGATCCCCTCTCCAATTTCAAATCCGTCGCCTCCACCTACCAAATTCCCCAAAAACCCTAGAAACCACCACTCGGAACAGAACGATTTCAGTGCTCTAACCGACGGCGAGGTCTTGCAGGATCCTTGGGCTCACCACCGCCCGCAGAAGATGGCGAGGTCTTGCGTTTCGGAGCTGAGCGAAACGAGTCCTCTCACTGTGGTAAAGCATGTGCAGCGAACGCCGAATATGCTGTCTTATTCGTCGCCAGAAAGTCGGAGATTTGTGGTGAAGGATTGTAGTCCTACTGCTTCAGGGTGTTCGCCGTTCAATTATGGACAGAGTGAGGAGAAAGAAAGCTCCACGCATAGCTTGTCTGGTCGATTTCCATCCGTTTCGCTTTTCAAAGAGTACCAGAATGCAGCCATGGCGGTAAAATTCTCAGATTGTGTTATACATTTCTTCATTTCCTCTGCGAATTCGTTATCTTTTTGCTGCTATGGTCTTTATGTAATCTTACAATGTGCCTATAATGAAAGAGAGATAATTCATGCCTGGATAACTATGAGTGAAACAATGTAAGCTTCAGCAATTGGAGTCTGTTTACTAATTTCACAAGTACAAAATGCTTATCCTGCAATTGTCTCTCTCAAGACTTTAGAAATTACTATCCACTGGTTCCAATTTGCTGGTGTTATGATTAAAGACATCCAGAAAATGATCAACAAGCAATCACACACACAAATAAGATACAAATATTTACGTGGTTCAGCCCAAAAGAGAGAAAGCTTCACTATGAACAAAAACAAATACAAAACAGAGGAGTCGTCTCACTCTCTCAACTCAACTCACAGCTCATGCACTTCTCACAACTCTCTCTTTTCTTCACATATGTCTATCTCAGCTCATAGCTCTTCCCATTTGAACACAAACGGGAGAGCCCAAAAATCAACATCTACCTGCCAACAACCAACTACCAAAATAATGGAAGGCCATTAATGTTGTTCCAACCCACATGCTTGCAAAACCATGCATGCAAAACCATGCAAAGGAGAGAGTCAGAGAACATGGCGTGAGAAGACTTCCACCTCGAGAGAAGGAGGTCTGAGTTGGGCATCTGGAAGATTGTCTCTCCCTTCTCTTTCCGTTGTTGTCTTTGTTGATTTTTACCATTGCTATTAAAGAAGGTAGAAATTTTTTGGTGAGTTGGTTTGTCTCCTCTCTCTCTCATTCTCTTTGTGTATAAATAGAGACGGGAGGGAGAGGATGATTTGTATCAGAAATTGGAGAGTGAGAGTTGTGAGTTGAGTGAGTTTCATCTCCTCCTCTGTATTTTGTATTTTGCTCAATTTTAGTGAAAAATTCTCATTGCTGTCCGTGGATGTAGGCATTGGGCCGAACCACGTAAATATTGTGTTCTCTGTGTGTGTGAGATAATTTTTCTGGGTGTGTTTGATTCTAACAATTAACACAGTCACCCTAGATTGGAAAATCTTCAGAAAATCTGTAGCCCAAAATTTGCAACAGCTACATTTGATTTCCATGGCCTACTTCACATGGTGTGGATACTCAACAGCTGGGATTGACAATAATGCATTTTTTAAACCTCTTCTAAACTCAAGCTTCATTTGATATGAAGCACTCCAATGGACAAACTCAGATTAAGCATAGATTTGAGTAAAAGCTTTAGTTTTGGCAGAGTTCTAAATTGTGTTACCATAAAACACTAATACCCTAGCGAATTGTGTATTTGTACGCATATTCCAAAGCATGGTACACTTCCGTTTCAAAACAGTAAATTTAGTGATCCGAAACGATCCCAAAAGTTTTTTCCAATATATTTCTTTAAGGAGGAAAAAAATCAAATATAATGAACTAAAATTTAAGATGAGTTGAGTTTTGACAAATGTGTATAAATGTACTACATCTTATTGGATGTCTAATAATTAAAAGAAAATTATTCTAGAAGTATCTTAAATTCTTAAGTGTAATATATACAAGTCTGCCCCTATCATACTATATTTTGGGACATGTGGCGTACCACATTTCCGTTCCCTTTCCACGTACTAGAACGATCCACATTCTTGGTAACATAGGTTGTAAATTTGAAGGCTACACAATGATCTCGAAAATTTTGAGTAAACTTTGATTCTCCCTTGATTTGGGTAAAACTTAATTTGATATACGTTTTGAGTCACGGGGTAGAGAGATTTTTGAGTATTTTTATCCAAATTTAAGTTTGATAAAATTTTGAGTCAAGTGCTAGAAGCCTCTGAAATCTCTGGGTATCCACAGTGCCTATTGCACCTCCACTAAAAGGCCTGGGGCGCGCTGTGTTTTTAGGATTTCTGTAACTGCTTGGAGTTGTTTAGAATTTTCTACCTGTGCCATCCAATATATGTGATTAAAAAGTCAATTCTTGATTTGAACTCATACTGTGTTTGTGTCATTAAAAAATGGACAGATTCTGGAGAAAAGTGATTACACCATGATTTCTGGGAGCCCTTTTATTAAAAAGTCAGGTAAAATTTGATTTTCTGTCCTGTCTTGCTCTTTTGTCATGTATGCTTAGTGTATCGTGGGCTGCATATGTTCTCTCCAGGTTGGAGGAAGATATCATTTTATTTCAACCTCTCCTATGAAATTAAAGACAAGACCATTGAATTTGATGAGAACCGGAATGTTCTTCGTGCTGAATTTGTGGTTCGGGCATACATGCAGTACGGTTTTCACTTCCATGATTGAGTAATGAATTAGCAATTTGCTTTCACAGAATTTAGTTTATAGCTTTTACTACTAACTCTCCTATACTTGTTCTTAGGGGTGGTAGGTTCTCAGATGGGTGGGGTTCATGTGAACGGCGTGAGAAGAGATTTTTGAAACCTAATCATGATGTTCCAAGCACAGCAGAAACTAGAGCCAAAAATAGAGCATGCCAGGTTTGTTGCTTGTTCTTTCCTGCAGGTTTATTTCAAAGTATGTCATGTGATGTCTTCAGTTGATTCATGTACTAGCTGTTCTTGAAGTTGGATGTATATATATTTTCATGCTTATAATTTTAGATGAAGTGAGATCACAGAAGCCAAACCCAATTGCTTGTTGCAAGACTCCTTGTCTGCACACATGTTTTTTTGTCTTTGTTTATTGAGAAACATATTTGAACTAGATGAACAGAAAATCAGATTTTTATGTGAATGTTTCAACCTGACCTAAAAGGGTATTTGACTTATGCTTGGGTACTGCGTAACTGTTATGACGATTGCTGTCGCTATTGGAAGTATTGTAGACTATTAACTCAAAAATTAGTCACGTCAGTTCGCATCTTAAAGTTTCGTGACCTTATTTTTGGAGCATACTGCCTTTTTCAATTGGTTGGGTAGTCTCAGGAAGCACTAATTCATGTCTTGAATGCTGTTGTTTGAAGTAACTTTTCATCATTTTGACCGGTAGCTGAGAATCTGCAGAGTTGGCAGCTTATAATGCTACATGTTTTGTTGATAAGATAATCGGTATGCTATAGTTTGAGATGAACCAACACTTTTAATCATACTTATAAATGCAAAATTCTAAATGTTAACATAAACTCCATAGTTAAAAGTATCCATATATCCTGCCCCTAAATAATTGAGAGTAAATCCTTTTAAGTTGTGGTGGTATTGGGCCATGCAAATGTGCAACTTTCTACTTTGTAAGCCAAAAAATTTCAATATTTTTTCCATATAACATCATGTCTTCATTTAAATCATAGGATTCCATAATGTTTCTCACAATCTTGTCCTATGTCCTTGTGGATTTTCCTTTCCCCTTGTAGAGCCTTCTAGAACTGTTCCCTTCTTGGGCTTGCTTATTCTTTCAATTGGCATAAATTTCGTTCTCTCTCTATTTTTCCCTTGGCTGTGCCTCGCACTTCTCAAACTGTGGTACATTTTCAATTCCACTACATCTTCTCTGGGAACCATCTCAAAATTTTCACTTATAGCAATGCTCATTTCATAGGTATTTCGTTTCTCAGTTGCTTAAACTTTGTACCCTAGTAGAACATGAGATTAAATGGTGAATATCCATCACAAAATTTGAAAAATCTGTCAGGCATTTTAGATGGTTAGATCATGGAACCAAGGATTTATAAAGAAGATGCAGTTTGAACCAAATTAAGAGGGTGAATTTCTTATTACAATTCTTGTTTGTATTGCTTTGTTTGGGTAGTGTGGATCTTGATATGTACTATCACTAATCACTTAACCTTTGGAATACATGTATTTTAGTATTTTCATACATGTGACTTGTAGCCATAATACCATGTATATGTGTTGGGGACGGCTATCTTTATATCTTGGTTGTAATTCTTTTTTATCATATGAAACTGCAGAGACCATGGATCTATTCCTAATTTTGGGATGAATCACGTTAATTTACAATTCTTGTTTATTGTTCCTCTCAATTTTTGTATCTCATTTATCCTGATTAAATGGTCTGCTATTCGTAACAAACTTTACTATTTTTCATACCACCTTGCAATTTATCAGTCTCCACTAATTTTGTTGTAACTAAGTGGATCTACACTAAATCCCTGCAGGATCTGCTAGGAATTGGAGAGTATCGACCTGGTGCAAGCCATGCTCAGCACTAAAAGATGTAATCATTCAAAAATTCTGATAACCCAAAGGCAAGTCTGGTCCAGCAGTTTTCCCGCCTGAGACCTGAATGATGAAAAATAATCATATCATATCATTTACTGGACCAGCTTACGATCTCCATCATTGTATTATCACATTAGCGTACTCTGAATTTTCTAATTAAATCAATCAATGGCAACAAAAGGGTGAGAGCTCCATCCTTAAATGTTTACTGGGCCTCCCACCCCCAACAGTCATATCCTGTACCATATGGAGCCATTATTGCTATTTTTTTTTTTACAATTAGTAGAATGAGAGTAAGAAAATAAAAAGTTGTGTCACAAAACGGTAAGATTGGATGCAGGCATTATGCTTAGTAAAGTGAGCGTTTGGCCAACCTGGTCTCTATTGCTATTTTTATTATAGGCTTTTGTTTTTTTATCAGGAAAAAATGGTCACAGTTAGCTTGTATAGCTGGCCTATGTCATCTGACAGGTCATAAATTGGCAATGGGCATGAATTCACCATTGGAGCACAGTGCACAGCAGGGAATTCACCTGGGTGATTTTGTCTTTGTGGTGTTGTGACCCTTGGAAGTTAGCCAAATGGACCAAGCATGTTGGAAATAGAAACCTACTACTACTAGTTGAGGATCACTGTCTAATTAAATCTAAAAAAATTTACATTATTCGATAGTTATAAGTAGTTTTATAGTGTGAGGTTTCAGGTTTAAATTTAACAAGCATCCTATTAAATATATCTTTTTCTCAACTTAACTTCTTCTTCTTTTTTTTTTTTTTTTTTTTTAAAGCTTGTCTTCACCTATGGCTAACTTTTCAACATTTTCAACCTCATATCCCAAGATTTGAAATCCATCAATCCAAATGGATCTGGTGCCCTTTGTTACTTACTATCCAAGATGCTCACTCCAAAGATTATATATTCAGGTTGTGCCTTCTTCAAACACAGGATAGTTAGTGTGTGCGTGAATTTCTGACCACACTGCCAAATGCAGTATTCAGCTGGAGAGCACTGACAGAATAGATGGCACCTGACTGACTTGCAACAGAAAAAGAAGATTCCGGCGGTGGTTCGTCCACCCGGGGGCACTCCGACGATTAAGTCAGTATATCTCCCAAAGATAATCAATAGTGTTAATCTTACTGTTCAGAATATAAATTGCGTACCTTAGATCTATCGGGGTTGTCTCTCTTTTATAGTTAATTCAATCCTAGTCCCTATAGAAGCCTAGTTTCAATGGACTTCTGCTCAATGCTTATCCTAGACTCTCCAAGAGATAAAAATAAATTCCTTAAAAGTGTTATCCTTATCCATGTTGCAGTCCTTCTTCATTCTAGGACTCTTGTGCCTTATCCACTTATCTCGGATTCCGATATCTTCGGAGATAACCTCGGCCTAGCCGAAATAACCTCAACGTCATGATCAGGACACGTGGCACCTCGGCTGACACGTTGGCGTCACCTTGGCCACTTGTTGATACTCAGAGAATATATCCCCACAACTGCCCCTTAGGTTCTATTACCTCGGCAATCTGAGGTGATGGAACCTATACCAGAACTTCCTTCCAATACGTCGACTTAAAATTTCTTTAGCCGAGATCATCATATAGGCCGACATGTCTTTTTTAAAGAACATGAATTTCAAAAGCTCATTCATGCGTATGAGTTGTCGTACATAATAACTCAACTGTTTTAGCCACGCGTCTTCCCCTTACTGGATCGTACTTGATATGCATTTGTAACTCGTCTCACGCCTGCGTGCGCCGTCTGACGCATACGTTGTTTTAGGCGCATTAATTACCTTTTTGCCGCCGTTTTGAGTTTTAACAAAACTTCTTTCTCCTTACGTCTCTTCACTTTACACCGTCTTTGTTCAAACTCTTTCTCTCTCTTACTTTCTCTAATCCTCAATTGTTTCAAGCTCTGAATCTCTGCTGCCACCGCTGTTTCACCTCTTCCGGCGAGGCTCTTTTCCTGCTGCCGCCGTGCGTCTGATTTCGGCGATCTCAACACCGGCTTCCTCTTTTCGGTGAGTTACTGTTTCCTCCCGATTTAACTTCTCGTTTCAGTTTTTGATGGTATCTTGAATCTCTGTCATTTTTGCGAACTTGCTTATGACCTTGATTAGTTTAATCTGTTCATGTATCTGAGTATGGTTGCCCCGCGATTCTGTTTTTGCCCAATCTTTTCTTGAGTATTCACAACCTGCACACACATTTGTTCACTTTTGTCATTGTTCTTGGCCTTGTACCCTTGCACACACTCTGTCACAGTATTCTTGGTAGTTCATCCTTGTTCTTGATTCTGAAACACGTTCTTGTTTTCTGTTTTCTGTGTCTTTTCCAGATTCCTGCCTTGAATCTTTGTTCCCGTAGATCTAGGTTTGGGATTTGTTCATAGAGCCCACAAATTCTTAGGAAAAACTGAAACATATTCAGTCGTCAATTTTAGCCGAGGTCATTCAAAAAAAAACATTCCCTTCCGAAGTCTCACACCTTTCACTTAAGCCAATATTATGGGTATGTGGAGGCATAGGGTAGACACCCTAACCAAGGTAGAATACTTTAGGCGAGAGTTTTTCATCCCTGCCGACGTAAATCTGAGGTTGGCTGAGGAGGATGACTCTATCATGCCCACAGCTGATTCTATGCCCTTCCCCGTTGTAGCTTTCATCGATTGCGGACTTCGGCTCCCACTCGATATCTTTTTCTGTGAGATAATCCATTATTATAAGTTGAACTCGTAGCTTGCCATCAATTCCTACCGAATCATAAATGGTATAATTGCCTTAGCCAAATAAGAAAATGCTAAGGTTACCTTAGCCGACATCCAATATTGCTATACCATGTGTGGCCTTAAAAAAGATACAAGCTATGTTTACTACCTCAAACCGAGATCCACGGAATACAAAATTATTGCCGTCCTCCCAGACTCCAATAAGGTAGCTAGGGATGATTACTTCATTACCTCGGGAAACTGGGAGTTCGCTCCAGACGAGGACCTCCACCTCTACCCTCTTCCTCGAACAGTTTTTGTAGAGGGTAATGGTAAGAGCCCTGTGCTAATACTTGCTTTAAAGTCTTCAATTACTTTGTTTATTCTAATGTCTGTTTTTTCTTGCAGCTCTTCCAAAACCAGAAAAAGGCTTTCGAAAGTCTTTTTTCCCTAGCAAAGGTCTGAAGAAGCTACTGGACCTTCCAGTCCACAAGTGCAAAGCTCCCCTGTTACTCAACTTTATCCCGACCTATAAGTCAGTTCTTCCGACGTTCCAAAGAAGAAGAAGAAGAAGAGTCTGTTTCCTCCTTCCGCCACAACTCCTCAAGCTGCCTCCATATCTTGGCCTGATCAGGGATCGACTTCTGATCCAGCAGAGCAGCAGTCAACTTCGGCTCCTTATCTGATCCCAATATCCCAACGCCAACGCCGGCGACGAACTGTTTTTGCTGCCGAGATGGGCTGCCAGAAGGCAGCTGCTAAAGATCTTTTGGCCAATATTCCTAACGAAGTTGGTGATCAACCAGTACAAACCCAGCCTCAACCAAAGCCAAAAAAACGCCTGAAGAAGGCTCAACTAAAGGCAACAGTGACTCAGATTGATACTGAGAACACCTTGCCAATCTCCAAATTGGCTGAGAGTGATAAGTCCAATTCTGGTGCTTAAAAGAGGCCTGCCGAAACCCAACCATCCGAATCTGCTAGATCAAAAAGGCCGAGGTCATCCTCTGCAACCACCTCGGGGTCTTTGAAGCATGATTCCCCCTGGGCTCCCCAGATCACATTGGAGGACAGCCCAGTCAGAGCTGGTGATAGCACCGATGATGTTAATGTCAACGTCGCCCTTAGTACCGCTCTGCTTCTTCCCGGCGATCTCAACCGGAACGCCAATATGAGTGAGTATGAAAATTTTGCCCTGATGCTCCAGCACTCTGTTCAAGTAAGTCTTCATACTTGGTATCTTTCTTTCTTTTTTCTTGTACTTAGAAAATTTTCTAATAACTTCTGCTCTGTTCACTTTCAGGTCATCTAGCATGCTCATTCTTTCTCAATGCAAGCTTTTGAGAATCGGAAGGAGCTGGCCGACAAGAAGAGGGAGGCTGCTAGTCTGCAGAAGACTAATAAAAACTTGCAATAAAAAATGAAGACCTTGGAGGATCAAGCCGAGGCTGCTATCAAAGCTAAGGATGATGCCGAGGAAAAAGCAGAATCCGCTGAGGCCATCAAGAAGGTTCTCAAGGTCGAAAAGAGAGAGGTCGAGGAAAAGATGACCCAGGCCCAGAAGGAACTTCAAGAAGCCCTGGCCACAAAAGAGACCGAAGTCAAGGCCGCTGATGAGAAAGGATACAATAAGGGGGTGGCCGACGTCACGACGGATTACGAGAAATAAGTAGAGCAGGCATGCAACAAGGGTTTCACCCTTGGTTGGATGACTTTACTTAAAAAGCTCGAAATCCCCGATGACTCCCCCCTCAGGAATACCGACGTCTTTCCTTTGCCATTCCCCCCGACTCCAAGCCATTCCGACGATGACTCTGAATCTGAGGAGGAGGTTTTGGTGAGGAAGCCAAAAGACGCTGTTGGAGCCAAGTCCCTTTCTCAAAATGAGCAAGTCCTGGACTTGACTCAAGATGAGGAGGGTGAGGAGGTTCCCATAAATGTTGCACCTCAAAAGGCGATATCGGACGTGCCTATTGCCGATAAGAGCCTTAATCAAACCCTGCAGGAAATAGATGCCGAGCTCGCGGCTGAGAAGGCTGCCGAGATGTCTTCCCAGTAGTCTTCTGAACTTCAAACCCATGCATCTACTGTTTCTGAAGAGTCTTAATTTCGATGTCCCTTTCCTTTATACTTTGTACTTTGGTTTTTCTTCTTTTGGGACAATTGTAAGCTTTGGCCGACATGACTCCTTTTGAATGTTAATATAGCTTCTTTGTTTTGCTTGCATATTTGTCTTTCCTTTGCTCCTTTTGTATGATTCCATACTTTAGAATATTTTGCATATCTTCAATGCACACCTTAGTCTTGTGCCACCTTCTCGGGGTGACATACCTCGGTTATACAAGCCAATGGTGTACCTCGGCAAGTACATAAGTACCTTTCTTGGTATAATCTTATAAACTTTTTTCAAGTTTCAACAAGTGTTAAACATAACCGTAGTTTAACTTCAACTTATAAATTTTTCACAAATTTCAACAAGTGTTAAACATAATCTCGGCTAACTTCAACTTGTAAATTTTTTCACAAATTTTAACAAATGTTAAACATTATCTCGGCTAACTTCAACTTGTAAATTTTTTCACAAATTTCAACAAGTG